GTCTCCGCGCCCCGGGCACTCCGGGCCCACCCCGCGCCAGGCATGCTGAGGGTCTTCATCCTCTACGCCGAGAACGTCCACACCCCTGACGCCGACATCAGCGATGCCTACTGCTCTGCCGTGTTTGCAGGTAGGGGGACTCGCGCCCTCCGCCCGGGGGTCGAGGGGATACACCTCGGGAGGGCAGTGTCCGCGGAGCGGGGCACCCCACGGCTCGTCGTCCTGGAGGTGAAGAGAAAGGAAGAATTGAATGTTGCCCAGACACGCAGCAGCGGGCGGGGGCGACCCCGAGGGAAACGGAGGCTGCTAGAAGTGCTGAGTGGCCGGGCAGCTGCCCCTTGGGGCCAAGGCGGGGCGGGAACGCCAGGGTAGCATCTTTCCTGGACCCTCACTTAGGAAGCCTTGCTGTGCTGTGGGTGGCGTGACTGCCCTCCTCTCCTCGGAAGGGAGGCCTGGATCTAGGACTATTTATAAGGCTGCCCTCTGCCTGTCCCAGCCTGGGCCTGGCTGCTGCTGGCATCCGCCTTTGCTGGGGTGGCATGCGGGTGGCTGATGGGAACAGGGTAGCCACCACCCTCCCTGCCCCATGGGCCTCTGCTTTGGGTACCAGAGAGGGGAGGAGGATGATTTAACAGCTGTCACCAGCACCCACCTCTAGGGACGCTTTACACCCTCACCCCCCCACCCCCTCTCATCAAACTGGCTGCACTCTGGGCTGCCCACAGTGGGAGCCAATGTGCCTGCACCGGTCTCTTCCCTCAGATTGAGACCTCCAGCTGCAAGGTCTCTGGCCTTAGGTGAGAGGGTGAGAGGGCTGGGCCCTGTCTGCTTCCCTTATCCAGGGGAGTCCACACAGGGCTGGGCCTTTGACACCATTCTGGAGCAGAGCCAGGGAAAAGCGTTCCTGTGGGTTCTCCTCTCACTGTCCGCTCCCAGAGAGCTCACTTCTAATCTGTCCACACCCCAGGACGGTGCTAACCAAAAAAGCCCAGTTCTGACCCCTGGTGTGACTCCATATGACAGAATGGACTGGTTCCGTAGGGTTGGGAGTTTTCTTTGCAACAATCTACCTGGAAGCAGACCCCCCAGGACTGTGACACCCCCACCTCACCAAACCCACTGCCATCCCGTTGATCCTAACTCATAGTGACCCTCTAGTGCAGCGGTTCTTAACCTTCGGGTCGCGACCCCTTTGGGGGTCAAATGACCCTTTCACAGGGGTCGCCCGTTTCATAACAGTAGCAAAATTACAGTGATGAAGTAGCAACAAAAACAAGTTTATGGTTAGGGGGTCACCACAACATGGGGAACTGTATTAAAGGGTCGTGGCATTAGGAAGTTGAGAACCACTGATCTAGAGGGTTTCTGGACACCAGCGCTTCAGCTGGCCCTGGCTACTTGCCTAGACCCTCCCTTTCATTTCCATGGGTTTCTGGATTCGTACGGTCCCAGACACCCATGGTCACATCTGCTCCCAGACACACACACACACACACACACACACACACACACACACACACGTCTCTGCATGCTAGTGACACCGAAATGTTCCCAGAAGTAGACACACAGAGAACTCCGGCGCCTGTCCACAGTAGCCGCCATGGCTGTGTACACAGCAGGCACACACATACTCTCTCTCCTGGGCATGCGACCCCGGAGCTGCCCGTGGCCTGCTTGGCTCTGTTCTAGACCAGCTTCCTGCACTGGCCTCTGTAAATGAGTGTGATCAGCGGGAGGCCGAGGCTCTGGTGGACATTCTTCTTCCCTGCACCCCCAGCTCTTGGCAGGCCAGACCGGGGGTTACCTGCCCAGCCCAGCTCTGCCCTGCTCCATTCACTCTGTAAACAGGCCCTGGGCTGGGAGGTTGAAGGGTACTACTCCTGGGGTGCGGCAGGCACCCTGGGCCTTATGCAGCTGCTTCCTGCTCCAGCACCCCTCCCCACTCACAAAATCCAGCCCGCGCACTGAGGCACTATGTGGATGGTGCCCTCTGGAGCTGGGCAGTGCCCAGCGTGTCTTGTGGCCTCTGCTGTAGCCCTCAGGAATCTCCTCTCCCTGGGTGATCTTCGTTAGTCCTGTGGTTCTCAACCTTCCTCATGCTGTGACCCATTCATACAGTTCCTCATGTTGTGGTGACTCCCCCCACCCCCAATTTTGCTACTGTTATGAATTGTAATGTAAATATCTGATATGCAGGATGTATTTTCATTGTTACAAAATGAACATAATTAAGGCATCGTGATTCATCACAAAAACACTATGTAATTATATATTGTGAACTATTTATTTCTAATGACAAATAAATGAAATTGTGTCTTAAAGCATGGTGTAGCATGGGTAACAGTCTTCACGCTGGGTACTTGTATGTGAGCATATCTGAATGTGGGCAGACCTACCTGGAGACGGATAGAGGAGCTGTGTCTCAGTTGCTAAGACCATCGGAAAAACGTATGTGTTTTCCGATGGTCTTAGGTGACCCCTGTGAAAGGGTTGTTTGACTCCTAAAGGGGTCGAGACCTACAAGTTGAGAACCACTGAGTTAGCCAGAACCAGCTCTCTCTTCACCTCTGACCCTAAGCCTCAGTGTGCTCCCCCTTCCCACAGAGACACAGGTTTGCCTCAGACCACACGATCTCCCCCCTGCCCAGAACCTGGGAGGAGAAAGAGGACATGAATAATGAATAGGACACACTTCCACACACCGGAAGTGCTGCTCCCTCCTGGGCCCAGCCACCCCCACCATCCATCCTCCGTGTTCACATATCCCTGATAAGGTCCTTGCTCACCCCCCATCCCTGGCCTCTGTCTCCCTCTCCCCTGGGGGTGGGGGTGGGGTGGGAGGGCAGAGCTTGCTGGGGAGGAAGGAAGGGTGGAGGCTGGCTGGAACCCCTCCCCCATGCCATGCCCCGCTGAAGTTCTCGCTGGGAATTGTAGTCTCTCTCCTCCCCCAGCCCCTGGTCACATTCCACCTCCCACGTTAGCCAAGCTCCTACTCCATGTCCAAATTTGGCCTCGCTGCTGCAGGCAGGCCTCCTTACCCTCCCCCCCGCCGGCCCTGGCCAGACTGCTGAATGATGACACAGAAGGTTCTGGTCACTGGGACGTGCTGCTCCAACTGAAACACTTTCTGGGGAGGCTGCTCTGGGCAGCTGGCCCTCCTCAGGCCCTTGGGCTACTGGCTTATCCTCTGTACACACATCAGCTCATTTCATCTTCCAGGCAGCTGTGCAGCCCAAAGGCAAGGGCATTATCTCCCTTTTACAGACAAATAAACAGGCCCCCTGGGGAAGTGCAGGAATCCCAGCAAGGAAGCCCCCTCCTCCACCCTCAGGCCTCTCCATTGCTCTGCATCCAGGGCTGCTGGCTATGAAAGTGCTTTGAGAAGCATACCATGTGCAGCCCACACCCAGGGCACAGCTTGGGGAGGGCGGTGCTGGGGTCCCCAGCAGAAGCAGAGTTGAGTACAAGGCTGCACAGAGCCCAGTGTGATCAGGTGGTGGAGAATCCTGATGTTTAACAATGTGTGTTAATCATTAGGAGGGCAAACAGGCCAGCCTTAAATGCAAACAGCATCGCATTCTCAGATGCTGTCTCTTTAAAGCCCCGCAAGAAGCCAATGAAAGAGATCTGTGTGATGGGTGCCACGCTTCCTCTGTGCTAGCTACTGTTCTAAACGGGACGCCTTTAATATGGGCTATGCACGTTCCAGTTGGAATACGCACTCAGCCCTTAAGTATATTTGAGGGGGTATCAAAAGGCTCCCTACAGAATCATGGACACTTTTATTACACAGAAACACCAAACTACGAGGCCAGTCTTTCTCAGCATAGCCCCCATCAGGGTCTACATAAGCATCGGATGGCGTTTCTGTCTCTCTAGTCCAGCGGTTCTCAACCTTCCTAATGCCGCGGCGACCCTTTCACACCGTTCCTCATGTTGTGGCGACGCCCCAACCATCAAATTATCTTCGTTGCTACTGTAATTTTGCTACTGTGATGAATCGGTGACCCATGGGAAAGGGTCGCTGGACCCCCAAAGGAGTCCCGATCCACAGGTTGAGAACCGCTGCTCTAACCCATCCAGAAGAATTCTGCGGTATGCGCTTTACACCAGGGGGCAATTTTGGCACCCTCGAAGAACTCAAGTTGAGTTCCTTTTAAATGCTCTTTGAGTTTGGGTGACAAAACGAAGGTGTAAGTGGGTAAGGTCAGGGCTGTAGGGTGGATGGGGTAAGGTTCTGTGGTAGATATATAATCGTTTGTCAATTTGAGGTTTACGAGTGTAGGTTAGAGTCTAGCTCTGTGTGGGCATGGCCTTCTCCTGAGAATTCTGGGAAATCTGGTATTTCCTCCTTGGGAGGTGGGAGCCTCTCTGCTCACACCCTGGGAGACATAGCAGCTGACAAGACACATGGACCCACCCTGATGCAGAGACCCCTGCCAGCGCTGAGATGTTTCCAATGACACTGGATCCAAAGACTGTCTACCCACTGGCCTGTGATCTTCTACATTCGGTGTCATTGCATGTGTTTCGTGAGTCTGAAGAGGACTTTATGGATTAGTATCAAACATATGGGCTAAGATCGGACTTAGGGACTTGATCTGGACTGGGCTGGGATGTTTTTTCAATGTTCAATTGCTCTTGTATATAAACCTGTTCCTTACAAACATATGTGTCCATGGATTTGTTTCTCTAGTCTACCCAGACTCACACAGTTTCCCAAGGAAATCCTAGGTGGACAGCCCTTGTGACCCTCAGACAAGAACAGCTGGAGTGTTGGGATGGAAAACAATTCCTTGGTGCAGTTTTTTCCCCTGACTAATGCAGTTTTCAGTTTTCTTAAAACCTGCTTGCTAATGAGCCACGTGATCGTCCAGTGTCCTTTGAGAAAAATCTGTCAACATTACTCTTTTGGAATTTGAAAACACAGTTGCCGGAAGCCGAGTTGACCTCTCTGACTTGAACCGGCCCAAAGGGTTCCCTCTAACGCTGTTGCTTTGACTGGACCTTTTTTAAAAAATAAGACACACAATCAGAACCTTTGCGTTCAATGTCAAAAAGAGCATTTCAAGCTCTATCTTGAAGAACAATGTGTCTGTGCTAGGATAAAGTTCATACACATTCAAGGAG